CGTGGGGCAGAGCGGGAGGATGCCCCTGCTCCCTGGCCTGCTGGCTTGGCCCTGCCCGGGGCTGCCGCCTTCGCTGGCCACCACCTTGTCAAAGAACCGATCCTTGGTTTTTTTGGTTTTTTTTTTTTTTGGTCACACGTCAAAAACATACGAGTAACTAAAATAAGTTTTTTTTTTAAAGTTCTTGTCTAAACCGCGTCTCTGCCTTCTGCCTGACACGAAGAGCTGGTTTCTGACCTAAGTGCTGTTGGCCCTACGCAAAGTCGAGAACCCGAGCCGAGCTGGTGCTGTGAGCTGGAGCCCCTGCAGCGCAGGCCGGGAGGTCCAGGCCCCACGCTGCTGCTGCTGCTGCCACGGGTCTCTGCCCAGCCACCTGCTTGTGCTGTTGGGTGGCTGGTGTCGCTCGGCCAGGCTGACCGTGCCGAGGAGTGCCGTGGTGAATTAAAATGGGACAGCTGCAGCTGCCCGGAACGAAGATTCGAATTACGAGTTTAAAGGGGATGGCTGAAGTGGGTTACCACCTGCCCCTGTCTGTGTACTACTTCTGAGAAATTTCAGTTCTCATCCTCTGAACGGCTTGTGGAGCAACTTTCAGGGTTTTCAGGCTGACCTCTGGAAGTCAGCTGATGAAGATTTTTAGCATTCCTTAATATTCGGTTGCAGAAACTTTGGGGATGTGCTATTCGCAGGACTTTTTTTTGCCACGGGCAAAGGGAGGTTTGAGTGGTGATTGCTTCTTTAGCCACGTGATGAGCGCCATGTGTGAGTCAGAGTCCAACTCTTGGTGCAAACAACCTCAGATAATACCACCGTGTTTATGGTCCTTTAGTTCCCAATCAAATGCCTTTGTGTAGTTTCTCTTGTTTCGTAGAACGTTGGCTTTCACTTGAGGTAGTTTGGGATAGAGTTAGGTGCCGTGGCCTTAAGCACAACAGTTGGCTCTAGTTCTAAGTTCAGATGTTACCTGTTAGCAATAATAGGTAGTTTTTACAGTGAAGTCAGCGTAGCCTCTTGATAAATGTACCAAAATGGCAGATTAAAACCTGCAGAATTATTGGTACCAGTAAAAGGAAAAATTGCAATTACTCTTGCTTTCCAGAATGTTACTTGTTTTCACCTATGCATAAAGGAATTTCGATGGCTGCCTTAATGCATCTTTCTCAGCGTTGCTGGAAAACACTATTGTTTTATTTTCAGCTAAATTATTGCTACATGGGAGAAGGGCAGTGGGGAAGTGCAATTCCTGAATCAGGTCCTGAATTCCTGAATGTAGTCACTCTTGGCTCACAACTCATGCTGCTTTTCATATAGCTGAGATTTGACTTTTCGTGACTGGCATGTGTGGATATCTGGCTGAGTTTTCTCTGCGCTTTAAGGCTCGGTTGCTGAGAGATAGCCTGCTATTTACAGAGACAGTATTATGCTTTAGGGCTTCTGTCAGCTAGCGACAGTTCCCTTGGCCTCTCAAGTTGATCCTGGTTAGTTCAGGAGCCCCAGTCTTTCACATCGGGCTAGCGGTAGCTGGCAGTATCTGCCTGAATGGGTGGGTTTGCCCATGCTTTGCTGCATTCAGAATTCAGGAAGGGGCAGATCCAGCAGTCCTGATGGCTCAGGGAGGGAAGATGGTTTTCATCAGCTGTGAGAGGCTGTGGTTTGTGGACCAGCACGTGCTGCCTGAAATGTCTCAGCTGAGTAATGGTGTCTCAGAGCTGTTTATTCAGCCACTTCTTGGGGGGGATGTAAATGGAATACTTTCCCTGAATATGGTTATATGTTCCCACTGCAAAATGAAACAGTATCCTATACTAGCACGAGTTGCAGTCCTCATCCATGAGTTCTGAAATTAAAATACTAGTCCTTTTTTTTTTTTTTTCAAAGGAAAAATGCTATAGGAATAATTTTGGAGGCATTATTTGAAAAGGGTTGATGCACTCAATAAAATCACAGATTCATGTAGGCTGGAAGGGACTTCTGCAGTTCACCTTGTTCAGCCCCCTGCTCAAAGAAGCTTCAATGAGAGCATGATGTCAGGGCTGTGTCCAGCTGAGTCTTGAATATCTCCAAGTATGGAGATTCTGCAGCCTCTGCAGACAACGTGTTCTACAGCTTGGCCACCCTCATCGTGGTTTTTTGTTTTTTGTTTGTTTTTTTTTTAAAAAAAAGGGGGTGGGGAAGAAATTCCTTAAGCCAGAATTTTGCATGATTCAACTTGTACCTGTTGCATCTTGTCCATCCACTGTTCACCCCTTATCTACAGCTTCTCGTTAGGTAGTTTTAGACAGCAGTAAGGTCCTGCTCTAAAGCATTCTGAAACTGAGCAAACCCAGTTCTCTCAGTCTCTCCCAGTGCTTGATGTGCTCTATCTTCCTGATCATCTTGGTAGCCCAATGTCTATCTTGTACTGGGGAGCCCAGAACCGGGCTTCAGACTTGATCAGGTCACACAGATTTTTAGAGGGAAATTTGCTGTTACAGCTGATGCTGTGTCACGTTGGCCTGCTGACACAAGTTCCCACTTCTTCTCCCCCAGGTACCCGGCATGCAGCCTCCTTTGCATAAAATCTCACAATCATGCAGTTGCCAGCTGTGGCTGTTAGTCATGGATGTGATGGAAGCATCACCCAGGCAGAAAACTGAATAACTTTCTCCTGCTGCAAGTTACTCTTCAGATTTCCCTAAGGCCATATACTTGCGATGTAAGCATGTGGAACTAGGAGTTCTATCAGATACAGGTGAATGTGGAACTATATCCTAAGATTCCTTGCGGAGGCCTTGAGTGGGCAGGGAAGGGATGACTTAAGTTGTCAGCACTGGGAGAAACAGCGGAGTTAACACCGCTTGTTCCTGTAAAACCCGTCTGTGTTAAAGGAGGAAAAGATTACATGGATCAGAAAGTGGAAATGGTTAGGCAGGTTGGGTTTTTTTTTGTTGTTGTTGTTGTTGGTTTTGGGTTTTTTTGAGTTAAGAATACAGTAGCAGTATTTAAGTCAAACAGGAAAAGCTCTGGTAGTGTTGTTGGAGTCAAACAAGAAAGACTCCTAGAAGTGAGGAGAACTGAATTCACAG